TAACTACGTCAAAATGTAGATCTATATTTTCTAAAAGATGTGTTTAAAAATTATGGTACGTTAACCCAAGATATAAACGTAGTATCTTAATGTTTCTGAAACAGTAATCGGATCGTTGTACTCGTTTATTTTTTACATCGTAGGCCTATATCCAAAATATAGATGAAAATTATCGTAATTTGTGCGGTTGTCCAATGCTCGTACTGCGCATTTATGAGTACGCGCTAGTTTACGTTTTTTTGTCGACCTCAAGATTGGAAGCACTCCTGCAACGGCTGCACTCTTACACAGATACGCTTAAGTTTCTGCTGAAATAAACCCAATCACTAACCGTACATTCCGATCCTTGTCATATTTATCTGTTAGATAGTACACAAGACATCTGATTTAGCGGAGTCGAATTAGTTAATTAGGATAAAATAACTGCGTTAAATGGGAAACTAGTGGTAGATTAACGAGAAACATCTATTAGGCATAGCTAACTGCTCACCTAGGATTATTTTAATGACATGTCCGGCGAAACTAGCAGAAACTAAATATAAATGCGTAATTTAATTCATTCAACCCCTTCCGTATTTATCTTCAAGCATTATAGATATTGTCCCCCAGTGTGCTGTTCAACAACGGAGAAAGAAGGTTCAACGTACAGTGGAATTGTGCGTTGTGCCGAAGGCCATATGCAAGAGTTCAATGCTATTCGTTTTAGTGGAACTCTCCCCCCGCCCTCTCTCTCTCTCTTGGTGTGTGTGTCGGGGGGGGGGGGTGTAGGATGTGTGTTTTTCTATGCTTTTCAAGCCCAGATTCTATTTTAAAATCCTGCAACAACACAGAATATTTTCTTACGCCAAATGTATTATTGTAGAGCAGCTAAAAGGCTGATGGTGAGTCGCTATTTTGGATGTGAATAAAATAAATAATAAACCTTACCAGAAACACCGGAAATGTGTTTGAATGGTGTTTCTTTTACCAACAATTAAGACTCAAATTCTGTCGTCAGAATCAATAATAATAATAATAATATTAATAATAATAATAATAATAATAATTATTATTATTATTATTATTATTATTATTATTATTATTATTATTATAATGATAATAATAATAATAATAATAATAACAATAATTAATAATAATAATTTGTAGACGATTAGCCTACTTCTGTAAAATATTATTTGAAAATGTTTAGGCAGATGCCATTTAACTTGTATACTTTAGTAAATTTATCAAAAATAAACAAAAAAACAAAAACAAAAACAGAAATACAAAAGCGAATCAGATTTTGGTAGGCCTAAGCTTCCATCAAACCAGACCCACTGAATGTTAATACGCGCACTTGCGTCAACGCGGCGTGCCCTGGGGTGATTAAAAAATATAAATTATAATATACTGTACTCACAAAGGAACCTTAAAGCATGTAGGATATATATTAGCTTAACGGAAGAAGCATCGATTGATCACGTATATAGAAATGTTGTTTGTGTAATGTATCATACCATTATTCTTGAGTTTATGATTTATTACAATTGTTTATAATGTAAATTATTTAAGTTTTACTATAATATAATATTTATTTTTATTTAAAAAAAAGGAACAATTTACATTTTATAAAAACAACAAATCATTTCAATACCCAAAAGAAAAGATTGACAATAAGACAAATGGATAACAGAGGATAATCCTTTAAACTGGTAAGCTTGTTGTAGCCGCTCAATATTTCTTTCCATATTCTTATTTCTTCCTCTTCCATATGTTCGTTAAATTTAATTTATTTTACTAAATACATATTACGAATTGATACAATTGTATACTCTGTTAATACGTTTTAATCTTCCTATATCCAAAGCCGAAGTTAGCTGTTCTCGTGCCAATCTAGGCCATTTTAGGTGGACTTTCTTCATAAAGGCTTCTACGAATGGATGATTTGTGGAGCAGGAAATCAAGTTGTCCCTCCCCAGTACGCCTGATTATAAATCGACGGGAAATCAACCGATAGTTAAAAGATACAGAAAAATACAGGTAATTAAGCATTAACAAACAATAGAAGAATACCGTAAAACCTCGAGTAGAAGCCCCTGGGCATCTTTTTGTTTTTGCGGCGTTTGGATGGGCTTCTTTTCGAGATGGACTTCGTTTGTAGGCTATTTTAAAAATTAAAGAAAGTGGGAGGCTTCTTTTCAAAATGAATTCTGTAAATTTTCGGAATTACTACTATAAATCAATAAATAGGACAACTAGTGTAGCATCAGTGTTTATCATGGAGTGTATTAACCGGCATTAAATCACCTGAGTTACCGTATAAAGAAGCTTGTATTTAATATATTTTGTTTGTTTCAAATTCATGTACAGTGTATGCTGTACTAACTCAGAAAGAAGCTCAAGCTACATTAAAAAGAAAGCCATTGGCTTCTTTTCTAGATGAGTCTACTTTTTTTTTTTTGCAAAATAAAGAGGGGGCTTCAATTCGAGATGGGATTCTTCTTGAGATTAAGCCCATTGAGCTTCTATTTGAGGTTTTAGAGTATTGCAATTTTTTTTAAATGTACAAAATTTTAAACTAAAAATAAAATATTGAAAATAAAAAGAAATATAATTATTACATATTTTTAAATATTTATTATCATAAATGACCAAATCTTTTTTATATACAATTTCTGCTCTTCGAAATTAAAGAAGAGTGCTTTTCACAATTCTTAGCATTCATTGCTTGGTCGTCTTCTCTTTTATGTTTCTTTATATATATGTATATATATCATATAAAAATACAAATGGATAAAATGTAAGAAAATTGTACCATAATTACTCTATAACAATAGCAAGTAGGTTGATGAGTTGAGTTTTTAATGCTGTTTTAATCGACGGCAGTAATATAATCTAGTCAAGAATCTCGTCAACCGTTATTACTGAATCAATTTTGATTTTTTAAAGAAATACAATCCAGTAATTTGAGCAGTACGGTACTACATCACACACTTAGGAAAGTAGCCACACCACAATGCTATATTGAAACGTGACTTACTGCGACTTTTGTCATGGGCAGCGATTGGCTGTCATTTTACGCCTGGACGAATGTGTATAATACAAACTCGGTCTGCAGCCATACTTTAAACGCAAATTCAGAAGGAATGACGCAAAACCGGTGACTGCAAGAATTGTCATGTGAGCGTAGCCTAATGTGCGCCTGTAAAGTTCGGTTCACACTATCCAATCGCAGACGCAAGATTGACGCGTGTAGCGTAACGTGTGTTTGAAAGGTTAGGTTAGTACTAGAAACGCAAATCTGTGTCAACCCAACTTTTATATGTTTGCATTTCAATTGTTTCTCACACTGAAAACGGACAGCGATGACTGTGGTAGACGTAGCATTTATATATATATATATAT